CTATGATTCATAGTTGAGTGAGGTTAGGTTTATGGTCATGACTATGACTATGACTATGATTCATAGTTGAGTGAGGTTAGGTTTATGGTCATGACTATGACTATGACTATGATTCATAGTTGAGTGAGGTTAGGTTAATGACTATGACTATGATGATGAATAATAAACCCGACATTATTTAATTAATTTTTTTTTCTTTAAATCTCAGTCATCATCATCATTGTTGCTGTTGTTATTGGCCATTTAAACTCTTAGTTGATCCAATTTTTTTTTCTCGTTCAACACACACACACAAAAAATCTAATTAATTTTGAAGAAAGAAACAAGTGAAAATATTATTTATCGTCATCAATATGAAGAAATTAACGCTAATACACAAAGATTTGATTACATTAATTAACCTTTTTTTTATAAATTACTTTGGCGTTTGCCAAAGGAGATCAGATTGGATTAAAATCAGAAAAGGGAAATCAGATCCGTCAATTAGAATGGTGCTTTATAAATCCATCAATCGTGCATACAAGCAAATTTTCTGATTTTTTTTGATTCAACATCCGATGTATGTTATGTTTTTTTCATCAAACATAATTAACCATTCAGCTTCTGTTTTTCGTATGTTTAAAAATTTATGTAAATTTGTTGTGCGCAGCGACAACAGCAACAATTTCACATGAAAACAAATGTCATTAAATTCAATTAACGATAATTATCTTCTTCTTTTTCATCCAACGACAATTTCAAAAAAACAATTAATCCTGGTACCTGAAGATGTTGTTGTTTTGTTTAAAATAGATTCTTCTTCTTCTACTACTACCAGCGTGTTAATGAATTTTCATAATAATTATCATCTTTAAATTCATTCATCCATAAATCAAATTTCGCTTTCATTTTATTTCAGTTACTTTCCCAGGCTAGTTTTTTTCCATTTAAAATGATAATTTTTCTTCTTTTCAAATAAATCTTTTACATGGCTTTGTCTTTCCGAAAATGAGAATCACCGAATATGGATATTCGAAGGAAAAAAGTGTCTTTAAAATCTTTTTTTTTTAAACTAATCAATCGATTATGGATGACAACTAAAACTAAAACTTATCAATCAATTAATCGATTTGATTCAAAATCGATTTATGCCTCGAAGTCGTTCATAAAAGATATATGAATTCCTAATTTGATATTGATGTTTGTTTCTGATAAAAAACAAACAAACAAACATCAAGATCGTAGGCCAACAACAACAACAACACAATTAGTTTGATTTAGCTTGAAGCGCGGTTTTTTTCATTTGATTTTTGATTTTCAATCACAAAAATCAACTAAAATGAAATGATAAGCAACGATTTATATTAATGAATTTTTTATTTCATAAGTTTTTTTTTTGTAATTACATGTCACATTTGTTTGTTTCATTTTGTACAAACAGACAAAAAATCATATACAATGTTTCAATCAATGTTGAATGTGACCAACTTTGTATTGGACAACTATCCGGGCAATTTTGACCATTTGAATTTGTTAGTTCAGGTAAGCCAAACCATTCTGATTGATAAAGATGTTTGAAATGTTTGGATAATATTTCTTTTATTGATGATAGATTTTTGTTGTTGTTTTTATTGTTGTTAAATAGTAATTGTGCCATTAAATAATAACCCATTGGCCATAACCATTCTGGTCCATTATGATAATTAAATCCATGTGCTATGCTGGGGTCATTTGAATCATTACTATTATCATAATCACCTCTATATGTCCAATCACTTAATAGAAAGAAAAACAATGAAGGGTTAACAAAAACAAAACAGAAAACGACATACCTAGGATCAAGTGTTTTCAAACCCAATGGTCCAACTAATGTTTTCGAAACAATATCCAATGCTTTTTGAGCATTCAATTCGTTGAACATTTTTGGTGCAATGACCATTGCAATTAAAAAATTTGGACGTAATTGATAATCCATCCATTGGATTGTTGATCCAACTGTATCTTTATAAATATTACGACGATTTATATATTGATCATTACAATCATCATCGATATAGAAATATTTTTCAAAATTTCCCAAAATTTTTTCATTCCAATATTCAAATGTCCATCGTTCTGTTTCATTCGATCGTGTTTGACAATGGACACCTTCATATGGATATTGATTATTTCGATTCAATTCAGCTAAAAATTCAATAATCGATTGTGATAATGCAACGATTTCGATGGCAGAACCATCTCTTGGTGTTGCTGGTCGACCACGATTACCAGCTTTATCCGATGAACCCATTTTATCCATCCATGTACCACAATTCCATTGATTACCACCGTAAACGAATCCAGTTGAACGATCAACACCGATTTGAATATGAAAACCCTTTTCAGTCATATGGGCATCAATTTTTTTACCGGCATTTTTTTCCACAAAATCAATTCCATTAAAATGTTGATTCAATGCTTCTTGCATTGTACAATGTAATGGTTCAATAGGATCATCTTTCGTTGAAAAAATTCGATAAACATTTTCATCAAGTATCAAATGACCATTTGGTACTAATTGAATATATTGTTTTATTGCCTGTAACCACCACCATATTGCATCACGACAATTATATCTAGGATTTTTTCCACTATCCAATAGATTTGGTATTAGACCATGCCTTAGACAACCACCATAAGCTAATATAATAATTTTTGCTTCTTCAAATCGCCCAGTTAATAATAATAATCCTTTCAATGATATAAATGTATCACGACCCCAATTACGCATATAACCAATACTAAAATGTGGTAATCCAGCAGCCATTGTTGCCAATAATCGTTTTGACGATATTGATTGATGTAAAGGTGGTAATGATGATGATGGATGAAATCCAATTAAAGCAACACTACCTAATGTTAATCGTTGAATAAATTCATCACCATTTCTGATGAAATCTGATTGTAACAAACGAATTTTTTCCAATAACATTGTCCACAAAGGGCAAAGAATTGAATCAAAATAACGTGGAATTAAATATCTTGGTAATTCCACTAATGATTTGAATGTTTCTTCCAACCATTCGGCTAAATCTATGGTTTCGGAACGTTTTTTTAATCGTCCGACAATATATTCGGGAAGCCAATTTCCTTGCCGTAGATTTTCACATAATGGATGCCCGAGATCATTATTGGTTCGAATTTTCGCCAAATGATACATTATTCCAGCCAAACCACTATACACAAGCGAACCATTCGATAATTGATAAGTACCGGAAGAATTTTCATCAAATTCTTCTTGTTGACAACGAAATAAAATATAATTCAAATCGATAAGATTTAATTTCTGAACAATCATTGAAATTTGACTATCGATCAAATCAAATTGAATGATATGTTTTTGGATTTGATTCAATGCATTTTGTTGTCGATTTAGTAATGTGAAACTGAATGCAATCACAGATGATGGTGGGAATTCTAGAAATTCAATTATATTATCATCATTTGGATTATTGTTATTCACTTTGACCATTTTGCTTTCAATTTTATTTACATTCAAATTGACATGGGATTTAATATTGTCGAGGCCATTGATATATTTTTCATTCGGTTTGAATTCATTTTCATCAGCATCATCAGATTTGATCATTTGAATTTCGAATAAAATTTTTTCAAATTTTCCTTCAATTTTTAATGGATTCAAATGATGGTTATGGTTATCGATAGAATAGAATGCAGTACGAGCTACCAGAACAATCGATTGATGATTCGATGGATTATGTCTGGTTATAACAATTGTATCTCTATCACGTTGATCAACAAATGCTTCCGAATAGCCACCGGAATTCAGTATGAAATGAAGATTATTTAGTATGCGTTTTGCATATAAAATTCCTTTCGATAAATTAACATTACCATCACCATTTGGATCATCATTATCATTCCAGCATCGATATAATCGTTGTTCATTGACAACATGAATATGATGTGGAACCAATTCATCATAACCACGATTCGAACCAATTGCTGAATATGTCATTGCAATTAATGCACTACTTGGTAATGGATCTAAAACGGTTCGTTTTACAATCGGTGATTCATTATCATGTGTTTGATCGAAAAATATTGCATGTGTTATAGATGGAATCATTGGTCGAGAATAAAGTATTTCTTTTGTTGAATTGCCAGTTTTTATTAGATCTGGTTTGAATGAACCAACCGGTTGACCACCAAAACGATGTACTTGACGTTGAAGTTCATGCGGTGTATTGGCCGACATTGCTTCACGTATCAATGAATTGATACCTAATTTATTAACAAAAAGATTATCCAAATCTTCACTTGATGTAAATAATTCGGCAATCAAATAAAGATCCGGATTAACACGTCGGGCTACATCGATCATATATTGTGCAACATGAATCGGTGTTGAATGACAATTATCCAAACGTAATCCTTGAAAAACTTTAGCCATTTGTGTAACATATTGTTCCATATGTGACCATAAAAATGGTGAATCTTCACATTGTTGACCATAACGTAATTTGACTGAATCGCCCCAACAAATCAGTTCACGACGCAGATAAACTAGTGAATCTTTATCGGCAAAATTTCTTAATGGATCATCACCCATAACCCAACCATTATGAGCCATATAATAACAACATTTTGTATCATCATACAATTTTGATTCATTTTCAATAAATTTTTCACCAACAAAATCATTATCATTATCGGTAAAATATTCGGTTGTTAATGGATTCGTACGGGTTAACTTTTTGATTTTCGGTCCATTCGAATCGAATCGTTCATATCGTGCACCTTTTAAAACATTTTCGATTGCCGTATCAATATGGCTAATTATTTCCTGACGTTTACAATTATTTAGTTGAATTAATTGCTGTTGAAAACAAGATAAAGCATCGTTCAACCAATTTTCAATCGATTCTCGAGTTGGTTGATAATCAATTTGATTTTTTATGAATTTAAATGCATTTTCCATATCGACTGTACAATTTAATCTACGAAATTGTGGATCTTGTTCTAAGATTATATCATTGAAATTCTGTTGTGCAGACATTCGGTCAGTTTGATGATCCAAATCATTGAATTGTTGGCGAAGAAATTTTTCAAATTTTTTCACCAAAATCAAAGGATCGCAAAGATAAAATTCTTCCAATTTGATCAATGGTAGATAATGTTCACGTATTAAATTGCCAATCGATTCTAATTGATCAACACTATTGATATTCGAACAAATTCCTCGATCAATCCAACGATCCTGTTCAATATCTAGCGTAACATTGTATAACATACGATCAAGAATAAAAGCCGGACGAAGCCATGGTGAATTTTTACAATTAAAAGCTGAATCAGGATATTGTCGAAGCCAAGGTGATTCATTAGCAGTATGATTGAGGACAATATCAATAATGGAAATAACACCATGTTCTTTTCGTAACCATTCAATACAATCGGAAACATTATCAATAGTACAATCTTGTCCAGTTTCGATCATATTTTCAGTACGAAATGTTTGATTCAATCGAAGTTGATCAGCTAATGAATAAGCTGAATTTGATTTACCAAGTATTTGTATTGGTGTCCAATGTATCATATTATAATGACATTGAATCGATACATTCAATCGTTGTTTCCATTGATCAATAGGACCCATTAATTTTGATAAAATTGTTTGACATTGTAATGCATTTATCGATAAATGAATCGATTGTCTATTTGATCGATTGGAAATGAGTATTTCAGGACTGACAACAATATAAAATGATCCAAGTATTGTATCATCATCGTCATTAACAACATTGTTTTCCGTATAGATAAAATGAAATGAACCAGAAGTTTTGAATTGAAGATTTTCTCGAATATCGATTTGTTTGTATTCATTTCTGTGTTAAATTATTGGAAATTAAATCTGATCAAATCAATTGAAAAATTCTTACCTGTTAAATTGAGTATAATCATCGGTATAGTTGGTTTTGAGCGAAATATGTCGACCATACAGCGATGGACCAATTTGAAAACGTAAACGATTAAATTTTTCACAACGAAATAATCTAGTTTCATTAAAACCATTCAATTCTAATTGATAAATGAGCAACAGTTGATTGTTTGGAATTTCCAATGTTCTTTGACAACAAGATTCTTCTTCTTCTTTTGTCGAACAAATTGATTCGAATGCCATGATGATTGGTTGGTTGATGATGATCAATATAATATGGAAAAGAAAATTTGGTTCGACAAATTCAATTTGTCAACAATTTTATCAATATGTGTCTACAAAGCTCATTATCATATCATCATTATGATAATCATCATAATCATAATCATTATCGTCGTACAAAGATAACCAACCGGATAAAGTCATTTGAATGTCGTTACAATGTTATGAATGATAACCGACAACAACAACAACAACTGTATATTTACCATCAAATGATTATTTCGGGAAAACAATCATCAACAAGATTCGGGCATATGGCCAAAATAAATATTTTTTTTTTCGGCTAATAGCAATGTTGAACACAAGATGGCGACTTGGGTTAGTTTCGGCATTCGATTTTTTTTTTTTGAAAAAAAAACATTCGATTTCCGTCGAAAATTTTTTCGCATTCCAAATATTTGTCCCGGTGTAGATTTTGACTAAAAAACGGTTTTTGTCTCGTGATATTTAAACAAACAAACAAACAAAAATGATTACAAGATTAACCGTTTGTAATAAATCCGTTTGACAAAATGTTACCCCAATATAAAAAAAATCCGTTCTCACGATCCGATTAAATGTCAATAAAAATTGATTGAATCTTTTCAATGACCATCGAAAGTAAAGGTAAAGAGGTTTGATTATTTGATTTTGTTTGTTTTGATGATGATGTGACCAGACAATTTTGGCTAAGAAAATAAAAAATGAAAATTTCCCATCAAAAATTTCTCACATTTTTTTCCAAATATTTTATTTTTTTGTTTGTCACAGATTGGTTTCTATGGTTGATCGATTGTGTTATCATTACAAACACAACCCATCATCAAAATCATTTACTCTTTACCATGTCATAATCATCAACATCATTCATGGTAAATGAAAGTGGAAAAATTTTCTCACCAAAAAAAAAAAAAAATTTTCGACTTAAACATTGAAATCCATCAACATGGACTAATAACTAAAAAAACATCAAAATGAAGAGCAAGACAGGATAACATTATTAGCATTTCCGTTCACGAAACGAAACAACAACGAAAAAATGTCTAATCTAAAAAGTAAAATCAGAAAAAAAGGAAAGAAATTGTGTTTGGTTTCCACCCTCTCCCTCATCTCTAATCGAGAATCACGAATGATTCACAAATTGACAAGCCAAAGCAAAAAGGACATTACATCATCCGACAATGCAGAAAAAAAATTATTAAATCTTTACAACCAGCAGTGAAAAAAAAACGATACATTTTCATTGCAGTCATTTCAATGCTTCTGCCATCCATCTCTCTCTTCATTCGATGATGCTGTGTGTGTGTTACGACAACCAGCGAATCTTGTTTTTTTTATTTATTTGGTGAATCCATCAAACACAACAACAACACATGGATAATATTATTTTGTTTTGGATGTAAACACGCCATCGTTTGTGAAACGACCGTTGAATTTTTCTTATATTTTTTTGGTTGTTGTGTAAAAAAAAGTTCTTATCAACCATACTTACATCCAACAAGTTTGTCAAAAATATTCTCACGATGAAAAATTTTTCTTTTTTTCTTTTTTTCTTTAACTGATTCTTTACATCATCATCATCATCATCATCATCAATGTGAAAAGCAGGTGAAAATCAAAAAGTATTATCTATTTATTTATCTATCTATCCATCCATTTGTTTGTTATAAAAAAAAATTATAAAAATTGTTGCCCGTTGAATTTTTCATCTCATTTATTCGATCTGATTAATAATAATCAAACACTTAAGCATTCACTTAAATCGGTTGAAATTTTTTTTGGTAAGTTTGTTTTTTTTTTGTTAAATAACGATTCTTGTCTTTTTTTCGTTTTTTATTATCGATTGATTGATTCATGGGAGCCAAGTCGAATGAATTTTTTTTCAAAATAGCGGCCAGATGTCAAATATTGCGTGCTCCAAATATCCAAATGAATTTTTTTTTCATTCACAATGCAACAGATGTGTTCATTTGTGTATATTTGAATGTTTGACTGAAATTTTTTGGAATCATTTTGGCATCTGGTTTTTATGGTCAACATTGTTACCCTTGTTGTTGTCAGAAATGGGAGTTCAAACATCTGCTCTCATTATTTACAGTCATAAACATTTTGATGATCGAAAGCAACAGCAGCTAGGTCAGAGTGTGTTTATGTTTATGTTTGCATTTATTTCAATGAGATCGATCCAACAAGCTTTCCATCATAGCAAAGGAACGCGCGCGCTAAAAATTTTTTCATTTTGCGCCAAAAAGAAAAATTCATTGAAATAAACTTAGATTACATCTCTCTCCCTATGTGTGTTTGAACATCATCATGAGATGCTCTTGACCATATCAAGATGATGAAACCGGTCTTGTTTCCTGTGTGCATGCTTTTTGCATTGATCAATATCAGAAAACATTTTCTTACCTTTTTATTTTTACCTAGTGTGTAACACACACACACACAAGGTCTTTGCTTATGATAATTACCCAAGTTTATTTAGTGAATGGGTTTTGTGTTTATATTTTATCGTGTTTGGAATGTTTGCCAATTCAAACATGTATGCAGCATTTAGGGAAAGTAACAAAATTCGGCCCCTTATCAAACCACATTGAATTTGCGAAACCTCGCCCTAAAGGGTCTGATGATGATAATTACATAGCCAAAGGCACACACACACGAAACCATAGTAAAAAGTTCGCGCTAAAAATGTTTCGCGCTTCAGCTATCATAGTTTCAACATGACCAGCAAGCTAGCTAGGTACCTCTCGTTGCTATGTTCAGTTCAAGAAAAGCAAAAATCTTTTTGTCTGAGCGACTTGGCTCAAAGCACACACATGATAGAATATTTTGTTTTTATTTTTTGTGAAATGATTTTGAATAATATTTTTTTATTTTTTTATTTTGTTGCAAGTTTCATAACAATATTTGATTCTACCTCATTTGATTGATAATATAATGATGATGAAATGATTAAAAATACTGGTAAAATGTCATTATATTATGATGAAAATTCTGAAACACAAGTTTCATCAACTACAACTATTAATCTGCCATTAGAATCGATTACGGGTTTATCGGAAATTGATTGTAATTCAGCAACAACACCATGCTCATCGATGAGAAATGTTGGTGATAATAATTCTTTCCAAACAATAAAAATGTCTTCGGATGGAAAAAAAGTATTATTGGAACGAAAATTGAATACGATTCAGATATCCAAAAGTCATAGTGGCTCAATTTGTCTAAGGAAATCAGTGAATCGTGGTCGTTGGTCCAAAGAAGAAGATAATAAATTGAAACGATTGGTTGAAAAATATAATGAAGATTGGTATCAAGTTTCAACACATTTTTCCGATCGTTCCGATATTCAATGTCAACAACGCTGGTGTAAAGTTCTCAATCCTAAACTGATCAAAGGACCATGGACGCCAAAAGTATTAATCAATTTAAAAAAATTCTATCAACTCTAATCGATAATTTTTATTTTATAGGAGGATGAAAAAATAGTCGAATTGGTCAGAAAATATGGTCCAAAAAAATGGACAATCATAGCAAAATATTTGGATGGTCGAATCGGTAAACAATGTCGTGAACGATGGCATAATCATCTAAATCCGGATATTATAAAATCTGCATGGACTGATCATGAAGAACGGACAATCATTCAGGCACATACTATACATGGTAATCAATGGGCAAAGATTGCCAAACTATTACCCGGTCGAACTGATAATGCAATAAAAAATCATTGGAATTCTACGTTAAAACGTAAAGCACAAGCCATGAAAGAAGGTATTCCTTTTGCCGAATTCAAAAAACGTATTAAAAAGAAAAAGACTCCCAAAACAACAACTAGTCCTATGGTAAGAATGATGATTATATCAATCGATTAATCAATTCTGATTTTTTTTTCTCAATAGAAAAAATTCGCTACATCCACAATAATTTATTCGAATAATAACAATGAAACAAATACTGTAAACAGTACTTCGAATACCGATGATGATTTAAATGATTTTAGCGATCTTTTCGATTCAAGCCAAAGAGAAATGTTGGAATGTGAACTATCCGAAATTCAGGATGTAAACGATCTTGTTTCAGCCATCAAATCATCACCTTTACGTAGTCTGATGATTTCTCCCACGAAAAATTCTACTATCATCAATGATGTTGATAATCAACAACAACAGCAACAACGAATCGATACTGATACAAGTTCTTATATTGAAGAGTTTAGTAGTGGATATCAAACACAACCAGACATGTCAAATGTTTCTTCATTCATTTCGCCAATCAAAATGAATTCAATCTATACTGGTGACCAACATCCAACACCTTCGAAAAAGCCATTTAGTCCATTACAATTTGATACTCCTATATCATCAAAAGTCATTACGAATTCAATATCAACGCCATACCTCTACACATCGTCATCACTATCGGATCAATCGATCATGATGATCAAGTCGAAAAACAAGGAGGTATTCTATTCTTTGGAATGTTTTCTTTTTTGTCTAACCATATTATGATTCTAGAATGTATCACCATTGAAAACAAATTCCAATCGATCATCGAATCGGAATAAGCAGTACTCAATGATGGATGTAATGCTAAGTAATAGTAGTAATCCTTTCATCAATTCGGTTGTTTGTTCGCCGCAGGCCATCGAAACGAATGAAAAATTACCAATAGAATCTCATACCGAAGAGATCTTATTCGAAACCCCGGTAAGATTAATTAAGAATTTCAAATATGTAATTAATATCCTTTGTACACAGAGTAAATCATTCATCCAGGATGATCAATTATTTTCACCACAATCATCGTTTGGTATATCGGCAATATCACCCACCAAAAATCTATCACCCGGTGTGGGAACATTGCTGAAGAAGCAACAAGTTTCATCAGGCAATAAAAATATACTTCGCACTATCAATCAAATGGATCCACCACTGGCAACATCACAATTATCATCGCCATTGATAGGTAATAAAACGGAAGGTCAATCGATCAGTAATACTAGTAACATACCATACACGATGACTATCAATAACGATACTTCGATAATGGACAATCGTAATGGCTATATACCATTGACACCGATGTCCAATATTTCTGTGATATCAAATTCACTCGAATCAAACAATCAAGATATTGTAAGTATTCATTTTTGAATCACATTAATTCATTCAACCCTTTTTTCCATCTATGATTTTTGATTAACATTATGCTTTTAATTTTTTTCACATATCCATTGTTCGAAACAAAACAAAAAAAAACGCTTTAGTCATATATAAATCAAATGCATAGTGTTGGGGAAGGGTTAGCAGTTGTTGAACAATTGTTGGAACATGAAAATGATCCATTCATTAATAGTAGTAATTATAATAATTATCCTATCGTCAATGATGATAGTGGCAATAGATTCCTAATGACCGCATCCAATTATGATAGTAATGTAAATAGTTTCAATACAATTCATTATAATAACTGTAACAATAATCATGCAACAACAACCACATCGATCAATCAAAACAATGATCATATTAGATTAATGAAACCCACAGCAACATCGTCGTCACAATTATCATCATTGAATTGTAAGTTTTGGGTTGTTTTTCTTTGTTGGCATTCCCAGATTGCTTGCTTTGTATTATCACCGTTTTGTTTTGTTTTTTTGCACACGCACACATTGAATTGTTTTGTTGCACCAATTCTGAGTTGTTTATCGGTAAACTTCGATGATGATGATGATGATCTTTCCTCAACACTATGTTTTCTTCACTCGAAATGTTTTGTCATGTCTTTGCACTGCATGTTTCTTTTGCATGTTGATTATTAAGATTGGTGTGATTAATCTTTGTTTATTTATTGGATAGATGGAAAATGTGAATCAATCAATGGAACCAAATACAAATACATCGAGAATAATTACGTTGACAATGCCTTCAACATCGATGGACACAACAACAGCTTATTATCCCATACAATTGGTCAATATGGGATCGATAATTCCATTACAAACATCAACAATACTGGAATCGAACACGACTACAACAACAAACGAATCTCGACAACAACCATTTTACATCCTACCAAAGATCAATGTTATCCACGAAGTACCAATAACATTTCAAAAAACCATTCCATCGAACCGTGTTCGTCAACGCAAACCTCGCCCGACAAGATCTCGAATGCGACTCTTTTCATCGGACCAGGCCATCAACGACAACAGTATATCGGAATCGTCAACACCATCGGCAATCAGTCCTATCACATCGGACAACGAATCGAACATGGAAACGAAACAATCGAGCAATATGGTGGCCAACACCAATCAATGGTTTATATTGGCAACCGGGCAGACAACCATACAGAAAGAAGTGACAAAACAGGCCCGAACTTTTCTTCAATCGAAAAACAATCCATGTTTGCCGAAACAACGACGTACACCGATCGTTCCCCTTCTTCGTATGAATTGTCACAACCGAAAAACATCGAATCAATCGAAAATGATTACCGACTAACCAAATATATTCACCATCGATAATTTTTCTTTATTTTTTTTCATCATATTGTTTTCATATTTTTAAAATTTCATATCTTTTATCGGCATTATTCATTATTTTTTCTGTATACTTTCTGTATAATTAAAAAAAAATTTAATTTTTGAACAAATCTTTGTTAATATGATGAAAGTTATTCAAGCATCATATAAATCATTTATTGTGTAACTCAAAACATTGGTTTTTGTTTGTTTGTTTTTTTTTTGTTTACTGACAACAAACAAATAAAATTATCATTTGAGAAATTATGGAATTTGAAGGTATTTTATTTGAAATATACGTTTTGTTTGTTAAAATGATTAATTAAATTTTTCTAATTAAATTAAAGGATTAAATAATCAAATTGAAAAATATAACAATCTTCAAAATGAAATTGATAAAATGGAACAAATACTGCAAGGATTACGTGATAAAACAAAAGAATTGGAAAAAGAAGTTTATGAAGATAAATATGTAAATCAGATATCCGGATTGACCGAAGAAAATTTGAAATTAATGTTAGATGTACATTTACTTTCCTATCAATGTGATTTATTAACTTTTAATAATAATAATAATAATGCAAATACTAATGTAAGAAATAATCCATATGCATATGGATCATCAAGATTACAAAATCAACAATATATAATGGGTCAATCATCACGTCGTCCTATTGTTAATAATGCAAATAATGTTCAAATTGCTGCTGGTCCATCATTTTTGATTCAACGAAATCAACCAATTGAACCATATAGAAATTTTGATGATGATATTCTATTTACACGATTACCACATACCAATCAGATTGCAGCCAATTTACAACCATGTAAATTGATAGCGACTACCACCAATACTAATAATCAAAATCATAATCAAAAATCACCACCATTACCACCAAGACCTAATAGACATCAACATCCATCTCGTTCACCACCACCACCACCACCACCTGGTTATCATAAACAAGGATCTTCAAGTCATTCATTTATGATACTTAACAACAACAATCAAGATAATCAACAACGTAAATGGAAATGTGCTCGATGTACATTGGAAAATAATGACAATCTTAATAAATGTGAAGCATGTGAATTTGTACGATTAGAACCACCATTAGGTTCGATTATAGCTAAAAATCAGGAATCATTACATAAATTAACACTTGATTCGTCGACAACAACAACATCACCAACTTCACCACCAATAACACATGGTCATCATCATGGTAAAAAATGGAATAAACGACAAAATCATTGAATCGATAGATTGGGAATAAACTTTAACCCCGCGTGTTACTTTGATTTATTCAAAAACAACAGCAATTACAATTTATTAATTAAAAAAATTTCTATAAATAAAAAAATAATAAAAGAGATTTATAATAAAGTTTATGATCCCCCCTCCCTGCAAAATTGGCAACTTAGTGATAATGTTTTTTTGGTTGGTTGATTGGTTACAATATCAAAATCGATAAACGATTTGAGTTAAGCGCTTTGGGCATTCTTCTTCGTCTGGTCGTAAACGCAAAGAATATTTATTATGTCAAGATTGTTCATTGTTTGAATGAAGGAACACATACACATACTCAATAACGTTCTATTTTTTTTCTTCTAATAGCTTTCCTATAGAATATTAGAAATGAAAGCATTTAAACCATTTAAATCGATCTAATCTCTACAATTGTAACAATTAGATCCAATTTTGGAAATTGGGAAAAATGAGAAAGAAAGGAAAAATTTTTGTGCCTATCAATCAATTAAACCGTCAAACAAATTGATAAGCACACAGCAGCTTTTGTGTGTTGGGTAAAAGAGAAAATTCTTACATAATACCACTCTATAACTTAATTGCTTTTATATCTTTGAAAATGATGTTGAATAATGTTAGAGTAGAGAGAGAGAGAGAGACAGAGAATAGTTTGTTTTTTGGATGGAGAGGGGGAAACAAGAGAGAGGGGAGATGAGAGGAGAGAGTATAAAAGCAATTAATATTACTAAATGTGCATAGGAAGTGTGCAAAAGGAATTAACTCTCTTCTCTCTCTTGCTTGTCGTATGTTGGTAAATATATTATTTCAATTCAATCAAGTTTTTATAACCAAAACAGAAACGATTCTGTATTTTGAGATAAAGTTAAATGAATCGATGTATTCTCTCTCTATATATATATTCTGGGTGTTTTAGCGTGTTCCATATTAGCAATAACAACAACAAAAGAGAAGAGAAGTAAATGTTTAAACATGCAAAACACTTATAAACCAAAAAAACTAAAATATATCGGATACAGCTGTTGTTGTTGTATTGTTAAAAATATTATTGCTGCTTATTGCATGAATCTTTATTATTATTATTATTATTGGAAATTAAACCTTACAACCGATTTATTTGTTCGTGTTTTTTTTGGAAGAAACTTTTTTATATATGAAAATTAATAACAGTAAATTTATTTTCCATTTTCCAATAAAATTATAATGTCCCCGATCTGTAATAATGATTATGGTGGTGGTGGTGGTGGGCGATTGAAAGAAAAAAAATGAATCTCTATATACCAGCAGCAGCAGTAGTCTACTTTTCAGTAATCGAAGGCAATTAAGTTTAAATTGTTATTTTCGAATGAAGAAAAAAAACTCTAATTACATGATGATGATGATGATTGCCATTTTTTTGTTCATCAATCAATGAATACAGAAAGAATGGATTTCCAAAACGATAACACCCATACACACACACACACACATACAGAACATCAATTGAAATGGATAGATAGAACCGAAAGGGCAATTCAATTTTGGAATCGATCAAAAAAATTATATTGTTTCGAAACAAACTAAATTTTTGTTTTTGCTGTTGTTTGAGTTGTTGATGTTATTATCTGAATTCAATTTGAACTGGAATTTTTTTGCTTTGTTTTCTGTTTTTGCAGTTGTTAGATTCATGATATTCTTTGCTTTTCCATTTGGTTTATTCAGCCATGATGAACATTGTGAAACGAACGAAAAAAAAGATTCGGAAATATTCCGTATGTCATCATCATCATATACTTAATTCACGAACGAAAAAAGAATATAAAAATATTCACGCGTATGCCACATGTATTGATTCTCACACTGAATGAAAAAAGGACAGAATAAGATAGGGAGAGAGAGAGAGAGAGAGAGAGACTGACATGTATATCATTTCTGGCCAAGCATCCAATAACAATAAAAAAAACAAAAAAACAAAAGCGAATAACGCCAGCTGATGTGATGAGAAAATTCAAATGAATGTGATAGAGGAGAAGAAAGGGAGACATATCGATATATATTTCGAAACACATATTATGGGTTGTCATGTTTAAAAACAATAACCCAGAAATAAACAAACGAAAAACACCAACCCAATCCAATAATAATAATAATAACAGCTTTTTTTTGGATGCCAAAAACTGAACAAAAAAAAACATGTTACCATTTGGATCATCATCATCATTTTTTTCATCTAATGTTTGTTCAGCAGCAGCAATTCTTGTTGATCAGTCAGTCAGTCAGTCAATATGTAAAAAAAATAAACGCTTTGCATCCAGAAAATCTAAAGATTCTAAAGATTCTATTACAATCAGGTGAAAACATATATTTATTAAATCGAGAAGATTCTGCTGCTGTTGTCTTTTTTCTTCTGGATTGACATTTGATTAAAAAAAACTTTTACGATGGATGCATCATCCACGCGCACAACTGATGATGATCATCAAAACAGAATTTAATGTCATAATCATCATCATCATTATTATTATGGGGATTTTTCACACCCGTTAACAACATTTTTATCATCATCATAATAATAATAATGATGATCGAGAGAAAAACACATAGAAAGAGAGAGAAAGTGTTTGCAATTAATTGTTTTAAATCTTCATTAATTATCAAACGACAACAGACAACAACACTAAACAATTTGAAAGTTTTTTACTGTGTGTGTGATATATCTACCATACAATAAATGGGGAAAAAACTGGTGACGACGACAATATTTTCATAATCAAACAAACATAGACACACAGAGAATGGAATGATAATTAAAATATATAAAAAAACTGCTATAAATCCTGTTTTCAAATTATAATGATGATGATGACAACAACATTATATTGAAAACAAACACAAAAACAAACATCATATTAATAATTATGATGATGATTATTCAACGACGACAACAGCGAAATTATCAAATTCAAATTGAATAAAAAAAACATTTTGTCAAAATGAAATGAATGTTGTTCTTAAAATTGATTGTATCGATGTGTGTTAAAAAAAACATTGTTTGCCAACTGGAAAGTAAAATAAAATATTTTATTGGAAATTTTCTCCAAAATATATTAAGCAATAAAAAAAAATGTCTTTCATTCATTCTGATTTGATTTGATTCAATTTTATATTCACAAACACACACACACACTTTACTTTATCGAGAGCAAAAAAAAATACCAGTAAAAATATATTGGCCATAAATAATGGAATGAATGAAAGTAAAGTCAATTTAGGAAAATTGACAATCTTTTTTCTTTCCTATTTGAAAATTAATTCATTTGATGCAAGTTTTTTTCTCTGTGTTTGTGTGTGTCATTTTATAGCGTACATCATCATTTTTATATGACAAAAAAAAAACTATATCAAGTGGTGGTGGTGGAATATCGAATCTATAAACGATAATAAAAAAACTTTCATAAGAAATTGATGAAATGAAATGAATGAGAAAAGAATGTGCAAGCTAAACATGAAAATTATTATTGTCAATGTTGTTTGTTTGCAAAGGGGAAAAAAAGTACACTTTTTCTTTTTGCTTTTTTGGGAACATAATTCATTATTATGGAATATTCCATAATATTCATAACATATCAATTTTCAACTATCTTTGCATATATAGAACTTAACTAACTAACTGAATTGACTGAATTGAATTGAATGGAAAAATAAAAGTTGCTTAGATAGGCAATGTATACATTGGAAAATTCACGTACTTTTTCTTTCTCTCTCTCTCTCTCAGTCTCTGTTATATTGCCATTTTTGCCCAAATTCAAGTGATATTCCTGTCAAATTAGTGACATAATAATAATAATTTGTTCGACGAAAAAAAAATGATTCAAAATCGATTGAAAATCACATAATATTTTTGGCTGCTCCCGTATGGATTCATTCATGATGTTCAATAATAACAGCGACAGTAAAAACATTTTTTTACTGTCTAAATATCAATTTATATGAATGGTTACAGAAACAGAAAAAGTCGATTTCGCTTGATTGACCGGCCCAAATATAGAGATAGATAGATATTATTGATAATATCTATCTCTAGATTCATCCAACCAATCAATTGTTAATAACTTTTTCTACTGTTTACTGTCTCTCTGTGTCTGTATGTCTGTTGTAAGCAGCATTTTTTTTCCTTTCTCCATTTCAAACATAACCGAAAATTAGATTCTAAATAACACTTGAGAATATATCAAATGGGTATAACCCAAAAAGCAAGCAGCAGAAGAATATTTGATTTGATTCTGATATTGTGAAAACGGTTTCTCTATTTTTCTATAGTGACGTTTGCGTGTTTCAATTTCGCTTTTTTTTAAACGGTTTTTATATAATGTTCATTTAAGTGGTTTTTTTTCTTTCTCTCTGATTCTCTTTCTCTCTCTCTCTTCGTTTATCACCATTATACTACTATTTAGAATCAAGAGAATCTAATAGAGCTAAATGGATTTAATTTCAATCTAAATGGAGTGTGTGTGTGTGTCGTAACAACCAACTAACAGCCAACAACAACAACAACATTATCAATATCGATCCAGACCTATTACTATTAATGACGACTATTTAAAAACAAATAAACAAAAAAAGATTCAGAGAGAGAGAGAGAGAGAGAGAATTCTCTAAGGCCAATTTCATAATTATATCGTATTTAAAATAGACAGAATTGAACCAATTAGTGTTTCAAAAAAACGAAAAAATGAAAAAATGAAAAATGGTTTAATTGCCAATCGAAGAATATTAAAAACACAGAATATATAAAAAAACTGACAACATCATCAGAATAAATATTGAAAGCATACCAATACCAACCAATCTAAAGATGAAAACAAAAATTTGATATTTTAAGATTAATAGTCTGTCTGGCTTGGTTAAATAATGATGATGTTCAATGATGTTCAATGAACATAGAATATATATGTATGGATCTTCCAGATGCTCGATTCATTGAACATCACTATATAATTTGGGGAAAAAAACGAAA